TGACTGAGGATGCGATCGTAAAGAGACGAGAATCAAGGGGCAAGCTGTACTGGAAGCCATGTCATCGTTGGACGTAGTCCTGCTGAACAGCGGCGATGAGCCGACTTTCGTGAGGGGAGAGTCAAGCTCAATTTTGGACCTCATCTTCGTGAGCAGCAGCCTTGCAAAGGGCAACTGCTCATGGCGAGTAACTGATATCTACACCGCGAGCGACGACTGTGCGATAGTCTGGAAGACATGTCCTCGCCAGAAAGTCGATGACTAAGAAGACAAATTGCATTGGCTGGAGAGTGAAGATCTTCGAGCCTAGCTCCTTTTCAGCCGCACTAGACGCCCATCTAGTCAGTGGCAATAATGTTACTGAGAAGGCGCGGAACGTCATTAAACGAGTAACAGAAGCATGTGATGCCACCATGACCAGGAAGCGACCACAAATGCGCATCCACCGCTCTACTGGTGGAATAACACCATCGCCACCCTGTGCAAGGGGTGTAATGCTGCTAGAAGATTTTCTCAACATGACTGTAAAAAACCGAACTTCGAGGAGCTGCGGATGAGGTATAAGAAGGCACGCTGGAAGCTTATCAAAGCTATCACGTGCAGTAAAAAGCAATCTTGGGGTGAGCTTCTTGATGAGGTAGAAGGTGATCCATGGCATAGACCTTATAAAGTGGTGATGACGAAACTCAAGAGTCAACCAATGCCGTCGCCTACGTGTCCGGTGTTGATGAAACAAATCGTCACACAATCGTCTATCGGAGAGGGAGAAGAGATAATATTGCCACTAATCACCAAAGAGGAATTGATGGAAGCCTGCAATAGGGTGGGTAACACCAAGGCCCCTGGTCTCGATGGAATCCCCAGCATCGCCTTGAAGGCAGCTATCCACACAAGGCCAGAGATGTTTTTGGATGTATACAACGAGTGATCTATACAAGGGAGAGCACCTTCCCTGCCATGTGGAAGCAACAGAGATTAGTACTACTTCCAAAGGAGAAAAAACCACCGGACGACCCGTCATCGTACCGTCCGCTCTGCATGCTCGATACCACTAGCAAAATCCTCGAGCGTATTGTCCATCACGAATAGAACCGGCCGTCGAACCCCTGTTGGGAGACAACCAATATGGCTTCCGTAAAGGCTGGTCCACTCAGGATGCGAAGAAGTATTGCCTAGTAGCGACACTAGACATCAAGAATGCTTTCAACTCGGCCAGGTGGGACTGTATAATGGAAGCTCTCAGGAAGTTTAATGTACCGGAATACTTGCGGAAAATGATTGGCAGTTATTTCACGGGAAGAATCGTGGAGTACGACACGGAGGATGATCCTGAGGAGTACAGAGTCACCGGAGGTATACCCCAAGGCTCTGTATTGGGTTCCTTATTGTGAAACATCATGTATGACGGTCTACTGCAGCTGAAACTGCCACGGGAAACTAAACTCGTGGCATTTGCGGATGATGTAGCCGTAGTCATCGTGGGCAAATACCTGGAGGAGATCACCCTCAGTTTTGACATGACCTTCGAGTCGATCTATCGCTGGATGAGCAATGTGGGACTGAGCCTGGCTGAACATAAGACCGAAGCCGTGCTGATCACTAGCAGGAAGAAAATTGAGGCAATCACGGTGGAAGTCGGGTCCTGTGAAATCACCTCCCAGCCGTACATCCGATCCCTGGGAGTGATAATCGATGCCCGACTTAATTTCAAGCAGTAAGCTGAGCACGTAGGAATTAAGGCTTCTGGAGTCAAATCCAGCTTATCGTGTCTCATACCCAACATAGGAGGTCCAAAACAGAGAAGACGAACATTGCTGTCGTCGGTGATCACATCGGTGCTCACCTACGGCATTTCCATTTGGGTGGACGCACTAAAGTTGCAGGAATCACGGCGGAGAATTGCACCAGTCTATAGACTGAGTGCCCTGCGAGTCGCGAGCGCTTATCGTACGGTGTCTGAAGACGCGCTGTGCGTTATAGCTGGGATGCTCCCTATAGAAACGTTGACCGAAGAGCGAAGGTCATTGTATCAGCGGAGGAAATCTGAGACACTAAGCGCAATAGAACTCAGTGCAGAAAAGAGACGAAAAAGTCTACAGCAATGGCAGGAGAAGTGGGACAACTCGTCGAAGGGAAGATGGACACATCGGCTGATCCCACAGGTGAGTGCTTGGTTAAACCGCACACATGGTAAGGTTAATTATTACCTGACGCAAATGTTTTCGGGACATGGGTGCTTCCAGGCGTACCTTCATAAATTTAAACATGAGAATTCCCCGAACTGCCCAGTCTGCACCGAAGTCGACGAAGACGCGGAGCATGTGCTTTTCAGATGCCCCCACTTCAGCGAGATGCGGCGTGTTTGGGAATCTGACCTTGGAAGGGAGGTCTTACCTGAAACCATGGTGGAAGCTATGCTGTCATCACAGGCACCCTGGGACGCAACGAGTAACTTTGCGGCAGCAGTCATCAAGAACCCCAGAAGAGAAGAATGTGAGCACAAAGCTACAGCATAGGTGAGAAATCTAATGGAACCCCTCATTGACAGCCAACATCTTAGCCGAATGAGGGGAAGCACGCTAGATGGAAAACGTGGAAGAACGAACAGCTGAGACCTCCCTCGCACAGTAATACTTTACGGTGGTGCCGCGAGGGAAATAAAGGTTAGTGAATTTGTCTGATTGGATTTTAGTCGGTATTGGCCCTTGTAACCCGAGCCCAACATACCCTAGTTATCGGAGAAAATCCCTAGGATTCTCTCCCGCAAGTGGGGATGCGTAAATGCATTCTCCCAACATACATTTAAAAATTTTTAAAAAAACACATATCTGAAAACAATGTCATCATTGGATGTGGTATTGCTAAACAGTGGTAATGAACCGAATTTCATGAGTGGAGAGGTAATCTCCATTGTGGATCATATCTGCGTGAGCAGCAACCATGCAAAAAGAAACTGCTCATGGAAAGTAACCGATATCTACATGGCTAGCAACCATCGTGTGATACTCTGGGAGGTATCCCCCGGCCGGAGAATCGGACCAACGCCCAAGAAAACCAATGCAATTGGCGAAAAAGTGAATTCCCTTGCAGACGGAGCGCAACGCAACAAAGATACCGTCAATGTGGCCAATGTAGCCGAAATAAGTAAAATTCTCAGAAATTGAAGATGAGATATAAGATGGTACACCGAAAGCTTAGCACAGCCATGAAGTGCAGCAAAAAGTCATCATAGAATTAGCTTCTTGCAAAAGTGAACGATGACCGTGGAACCGGTCGCGCCAAAGTCGTAATGACATGACTTGAAAGTTAGCCAATGATTTTGCCAACGTATTCGAAAGTCATGCAGCAAGTCCTTACAGTGCTGTTCCCGCAAAATCCAGAGTTCTATCACATTGTTGAACAACGAGAGAATGTGATGATAGCACCAATAATTGATGGAGGTATGCAATTCCTAGTAGAAATCAAATGTCCGAGCGTCATCGCCCGGACTTTCCAGGGGTAACTCTCGTATAGCATACGTGTGGCTATACGTGAGACCAAATGTCTAGGCGCGCGCACCCACCAACTGTCGCCCTGCCGGTCAGAATTTCTACTAGGGATAGAAAGAATAACACTAAGGCTCCTGAGATCGATGGAGTTCCCGACGTTGCACGGAAATCAGCCATCCACGCGAAGCCGGGACTGTTCTTGAACGCATACAATGAGTATCTCACAAGTATCTCTGGAGGGCGCCTTCCCTGCCATGGCGAACTAATAGCGGCTTATGGTACTCCCGTAAGGGAAAAACCCATTGGACAAATCGTCATCATACCGTCCCATCTGTAGGCTGACTACTGCGGGACAAATTCCTGAATGCACCATCCATAGGAGAATAGAAGCAGCTGTCGAACTGCTATTGGCCGAAAACCAATCCGGTTTTCGGAGAAATCGATTCACTCTCGATGCCATCAACCTTGTCGATACCGCCAAGGGGACGATTTCACAGACGAGATGGCTCAAGGGCACAAAGAAGTACTACCTAACAGAGATATTGGACATCAAGAACGCCTTCAACTCAGCCAGGTGCAAGGCTCTGGCAAAATTCAACGTACCTAAATACTTGCGGAAGATGGTTGACAATTACTTGACTGGAAAGGTTCTCAAATACATCACAGAGTGCAGGTCAGCAGAGTACAGACTCACTGAAGGGGTGCCTCAGGTCTTAGTACTATATCCTCCCTTGTAGAACACCATATACGCTGGGCTTCTAAAACTGGCATTACCGCGTGATGTGAACCTCCTGGCGTTTGCAGACGACGTGGCTGTAGTCATTGTAGAAAAATATCTGATCAAAATTGTTTTCCACGTCAGCTTTGCAGAAATTCATCACTGGATGAACATCGTAGGCCTGTAACTGACGCAGCACAAAACAGAAGCTGTGCTAGTGACAAGTAGGAAGCAAGTCGAGACTATGACGCTGCAAGTCCCTCGACTGTATCGACACTGTACGGTGTCCGAGGACACAGTGTGCATCATCGCCGGGATCCTACCTATAGGAGTATTGGCTGAAGAACGAAGGTCTCTGTATCGGGGGAGGAAATCGGGAACACTAAGCACAGTAGAACTCAGCGCAAAAAAGAGGCTTAAGTGTTTGCAATGATGGCAGTTGAAGTGGGCCAGGAATCATACACAAATGATCATGAAAAATGGAAATCATCTAGTATCTTGGACGAAGAATATCAAATTAAAATATTGTCCCCTCTAAGCGCAAGCAAAGTGGGAGATACATAATTCGCGGAATTTTATTCCTCTACATTCCCTGTGGTATCTTGTATGAAGATTGGACTGTAACGGTTTTCGGGGCTATTACAATAGCTCAATAAAAATCGTAAATGATAACGGAAGGTTGATAAGAACTCATTCAATTTGTGGTTAAATTGGTTATCAAAAATTTTATTTTTATGGCATAATTATATATAGGTAATTATTGATATATAATAATTCATTTTCATCTTTGAAAGTTTGCTCATGAACAGTCACCTCTTCCTGGCGAAAAACTATCCCTACACTTTTTTCATACAATACTCAAATTATTTGTCAAGTTTTTAGTTATAAATTACGACTTTGTTTTTGAAAAAAATTATAGTTCGATAACTATGAGTGACCAGTTTCTAAAAATTTGTTTGAAGGTTTAATTATATATATGCTACATCGTGTATTTTTGCAGAATATAAAAAAATGTCTGGCGATGAGTATTCTTTTGAACAACTTGAACTGTATATAAATGAAATGAACATTTGTAGGGACTCGCTACATACACTCATCCACATACGCGCTGACCACCGTCACCAGGTGAAGATGTTAACGGGAGCACGAAACTCGTAGCGCCGTCTCACTGGCACTCATTGTGTCACGTATACTTCTGATTTATTCCATTTACGAGATTCGGTTGTCTTGCGAATCCAGACATACCTTAGACACACAGCCGGTTACGAACCTCATACCGGATCACTTCCATCTTCACTTTTATACATTTTTCCAACGTCCTTCAAATATACTGCGATTATATAGTTTACTAAATCGGATTTGTTAGTGAATTGAATTTTCCCACAATACCTTCAATTCCTAAACATTCACTTTCTGGCATCAAATTTTCCCGTTGAAAACACATTATTCTCTTTCCACAAAAAAAAGATTGTTTCGATTTTTTCGGAGCATATTTTCTGGATTATAGATTATTTTAAAAAATGGTTCTCGTAATCTCGACATTTTGAATAATCATAATAAGAATAAGAGAAGGAAAATGTGATTATTTTTTATCGACATAGCATAGAACGCATCAACTATTATTATGCTATTTTGTTACTCAGATCCTCCCACAGTGAAGTTGAAAGGGTCCCTTAAATTTTCTGAAATGTTAAAAAAAAGAAGTAAATAGCAACATTTTACTCTTTCATTTTGGCTACATAGGCTCTATTCTTTAATCTTTTACATGCCCATTATTAAAAAAAAAAAATTCTTGCATGAATAAATATGTATTTTCGTCACACGGCCGAAAAAACCTTTTCTGTCTAGTGTAAGGGTCGCAGACCAAGGCGTAGCCGAGGAATTCAAACACACGAGTCAGAAAAGTGGTTTTCGGCCGAGTGACGACCATCATTTTTCTTTACAATATCCGTAACATCGTTTTATGGACAGTATGATGAAGATGATGGGAAATTATCAGACGAATTTAATTTAGACCGTACAGAATGAGGGAGTGAATGAAGAGGCAACGCTATTTTCAACTATATTAGCAGCCCGATGCATCAAATTGTTATCAGGAAACTCGATGAGATTCCGATCCAAATGAGCTTATCCCCAACTAGACAGCTAATCTACTGTCATCACGTTCGTTCAATCGCAGCCTAATGAAATTTGCATGGAAGTATATAGAGGAGAAATCTGAAGTGAAATATTTTATTGATAAGAACACGAATTATGTCAATTTATTGTAAAGCCTCGGGGTAATTATGGCCACCAATTCACTGGTACCCTTGTCACCATCACTCATGAGTAAGCCAATTTAATCTGACAGGTTCTGACAAGTTTACCACGGTGTACATTTTGTTCAATCTGAGATGGAGAAATACCAGAAATTCCGTCTCCGATGGCTTTTAACAAATATAAACAGCAGGAAATTTTATTCTTTCATTCATTCAATTTGAGACATATCTATATTCAGAGATTATTTTTCTCTCCTGTAGTCTCTTCAATCTGTTCGGATTACTCGATTCAGTTAATTACAGGGTGACAATTCGGAAGTTGCCTAAACTAATCGTTTATAACTTTAAAATGAGTGCCAGGAGAAAAAAAGAAAAATACATATGAATTGAGTAAAGATGTCATTTTTATTTGGAATTAGTTTCAGTTGAATCAGACACTTATAGATACTTATTGAGATTTGAAAAAAATTGACAAATTGAGCCAGGAGATAACTATTAATGGTAAATATTTTCGAAGTGATCTCCAATCGAATTTGTACAATAATCAAGCCGTTTTCGGAAACTATGAAAAACTTGTTCAATCTGAGATGGAGAAATACCAGAAATTCCGTCTCCGATGGCTTTTTTCAAATCATCTTTGGTCTCGGGTTTTTCCGCATAAACATTATCTTTCAGGAAGCCCCATAAGAAGAAGTCACACGGGTTCAAATCGGGTGAATAAGAAGGCCATTCCATACCTCCATGCGCAAACTTGGGGTATCCTAATCCGATGACGCGATCACAGTACACTTCATAAATAGCTTAAAATACGTTCTTAGTTCTATGCGGTGTAGCACCATCTTGCATAAAATAATAGTTCTTAACCAATCCTCTTCTTTTAGCCACAGGGAAAAATTTAGTTTGTAGCATTTCTCGATAACTATTGCCTGTAATGGTCCCTTCTGTGAATTCTAAGTGTATTGTTTTGATTGAAATAGCTGCCCAAACAGTCACTTTAACAGGGTGTAAAGACTTTGCTTCAGATGAGTGTGGATTTTCGCGACCACAAAAACGGTAATTTCGTTTATTTACATATCCATTTAAATAAAAGTGAGCTTCGTCTGTGAAGATTATATGATTGATGTCGATTTCATCATTTTCAAATTTCTGTATCATAATTTTACAAAACTTAATTCTTTTGTTTTTGGAATTTTCTGTGAGCAAATGATGGGTCGTAATTTTGTAAGGGTGTAACTTGAGAAAATTCTTCAATATTAATCACAGTGTCTCTCGGTTCAGTTTCAAAGTTGCTGCTGCTTTTCGTATCGAATCCGTTGGATTATTCTTGAAATGTTCTTCGATCTTGGCAATCGTATCTTCTGTTGTAACGGAGTGTAATGGACCAGGAAGATCATGACGACAGTCCTCAAGAGTATAATACTTGATGAAATTAGCAATTACTCTGGGAGAGAAATTAATAAATACTTGAAAGTTTTAGTCAAAACTGATGTTATACGATGAAGTCAGATAAATTTTTTTTTTCACACACCTGCACGGAAAGTTCGTACTTTCCTCCCGCTCATCAAAGAGCAAAATACGAACTTTCCTTTGTAGGCGTGTTAAAAAATAGCATGTGCACCTCGGGCGGGAAAACATGACTTTCCGCCCTTGATGCACAGTATACTATTTATTCTCACCTTCTGAGGGTCTTTTGACTGGCTACTTTTTTACTTCCAAATTTGGTACGAAAGCCTCTATGTATATGCTTCAGTATAGTTTTTACCTCTAGTATAAAAGCACTCGATAAGATATACTTTTTCTTCATTTTTAAGGTTACTTATTTTGAAGTACACGTAGTGCTTCTTGTAGCGTCTCAATAGAAACTGATAACACTCTAGTACATATCTAATGGACCTAACCTTCCGGGTCTCAGGAGGAAGGGAAGACACGTGGTTATACTTTAGGCAACTTCTCATTTGTCACCATGTAAATGTTCACAACAGAAAGCGGACGCAATAAAAAAACAGTCCCAGAGACAAAGTGGAGCGACTTTTTATCAAATTCACCATCACTCCTCCATTATTGATAGAACTGATCTTGAATTACCTCGTTTGTTATGAATGAAATGATTGAAAGCATACCGTATAGATTCCAGGAGGGAATATAGAAGAATGTCACGGAAAAATGCGACGTTCATTGCGAAGAGTACGATTTGATTCACCGTACGTTTAGAGACTGATCCCCGATATCTACTTCCACAAGACTCAATATTCGCTGCATTTCATTTTAGTTTTTATCGAAAATTGTTCTGTGTATGGATGCATGATGGAAGTTCGAGGAAGTAAAACATCACTAGAGCGGCAAATCATGGAGAGGAAAGCCGACTAAACTCAGCCAATTCCATCAATAAAATTCAGTCGACACGTTTCCGTTTTCCGGTAAATTTCAAACTTCTTTGGTTTCAGATTCAAATATATTCCCCCATTGGTTGCCATGTATTGATAGATTCCTTCTCCCCTCCCCTTGCAAATACTATATGGCCATGATAAACCAATATGTATGGTGGATTCTCTATCAACTCAGCCAACCATTTCCATCATGGTTTCCAAAAATTTTGAAAAAAAATCCAGCATGTTTCTGTACTAAAATAAAACTTTTTATAAATTTTAACAAATTTTTTGGGCAACTACCCAGCAAACAGTATGTCGACAATTTGCCGACGTCCTGATAAATTTTAGATGGCACTGGCAAAAATTGTTTTCTGGGTAAGTAGGGAGATATTAGAACATTTCGTTATAAGGCCAAAAAACACTTCGGGCGAATATGAATTTGCAACCGGAGCCGAAGGCGAGGATTGCAATCATATGAGCTCCAAAAGTTTCTTCGGCCGTGTGGCGAACAAAATTTTTTATCAGAACACCCGTAGGCAGGGATTGACGGACACATAGCAACCGTCAAGCGCTGCATTACCGCCGGAATGACAAAAATTCAATTTTTGAAAATTAATTATTTTTTACTTCATTCAATACCCAGGAATTTGGTTTTATACTATTTTCATACCTTCGTATTTTCATAAATTCGTATTTTATTCTCTGCTTTACAATGCAAATTTTTTCTGATTTTTTAGTCTATTTATAACTTCTTTTTGATCAACAAAACATGAAAAATCTCGATAAAATACCGATTATAGGTCTTCGGATAGTTTTGATTGTCCCGAAAAAAATAGAACATACTCCTTATATGTTGACAATTCTTTAAAAAGTAGACGGCAGTGAGTATTCAATTTCTGCACCCATAAAAAAAATTAACACTTAGTTGATAAATTCATTTCATTCATCAAATAAATTTGAGCTGCATTCTACATTCTACACTCTACATTCATATTTGGTGATATTTGGGAATAAAACAATATAAAGAAGTAATTATTGAATGAGAATACTTTACCATACGCACGACAAAATTTAATAGAAAAACCTATCGAAATCGTTAGAAAATTCTATTGAATTTGTATTAAACTTTCTATTAGTTTTTGGCTGATTCTATTGACATGTTCAATAGAAAGCATTCAATAGAAAAAGTCAACAGAATTCGATTTTTCTATATAACTTATTCTTTTCATATATTTTCTATAGAATTTGCTCGATTCAAATTTTCCAATTTTTTTCGTTTGATTTTCTTGATGAGAAGAAAAGAAAAATAGAATGAAAATAACTTGAGCTTGGAAAATTTGAGCCGAGGAAATTCTATAGAAAATATCTCAATAGAATAAGTTATATAGAAAAATTGAATTCTATTAACTTTTTCTACTAAATATTTTCTATTGAACATTTCAATAGAATCGGCCAAAAACTAAAAGAACAGTTCAATAAAAATTTAATAGAATTTTCTAACGAATTCGTTAGGTTTTTCTATTAAATTTTTTCGTCCGTGCAAACATGTATGAGGAATATTTTATTGTTAGAAAAAAATTAAATATTATTTTTCTGTGGAGTGCTTAATGAAAAATGTGAGAAAAATGGAGAAAAAATGGTAATGCATTCTAAATTTAAGAAATACTGTAACCCAATTTATCGATCAAGTGCGGATAAGAGAATGGATCAATTTCTGTAATTAGTTTGTTCGAAATCCTAGAGAAATTTGTTGAATCAATCAATTGATTAAGTTGATTAGTTATAGACATCAGATTTTTTTAATTTCTCATATACAGAGCAATATTGAGTACCATTAGCTCCTATTCAGTCCAGTACTGAAATCTCATCACATCCGCGAGATAGCGGTGGAGGGAAATCAATCGTCAATAAGTGTCCGTGCAATGCGGAGTGTTTGTAACGTCAAAATTTTCGATATAGATCAGCAGTTACTGTTTATCATTGTTTAGAATATTTCATTGTGAATAAATAAAGTTCAATATTTAATATACAAACTTTTAGTTCATGTTAGAAACAGAGAAGTTTTGAACTCGTTGTGTTAATCCTTCTAAAAATAAAGGGGGTACTCGATGCAGGGTTTATAGACAATAAAGCCACATTCAATACAGTTGACCTGGACATGAATTTCCTAAATATTTTTTTCTTGGATTCTATGATAAGAAACAAATGAAAATAGGATGCGAAAAAATTCTAATATTAGAGCTTAATAGAAAAAAAAATCTATGGACTTTGTTCAATTCAGTATCTCTTAAAAGTATGACATGGTGAACTTGTGTAATCTTCGAGATAATTGACACAAAAAGCCAATCGAATCATTTTAAAAAAATTTCAGAGAACTCCAATAGACTACTTTTATAGAGTCGCAACAGAAGTTAGGTAAATTTTTTCTATAAACGAACTGGGTATTAAAAATCTGTTGAGTTTCGTTGATTCCCACGGTGGCGACGGAGGGGGAAAGTCCAGGTTGGAGTTGTTTATAAGACAAGTACACAGAGAATTGAGGTCTGAGCCAAGTCAATTTATTAACAATAATTTAGATGAACTGCACAAAAATAAATAACTTCCTATAGAGAAGTTAATAAACGAACGGTTGATGTGCAAATTGCATTTTAGTACCGATAATTGTCTTTGATCATTGTCTGATAATTTTCGTTGAAGCACTGGTGAATTTTCACTGTTTAATATTTACTAAATCACTGATGATTTTCCGTTAATTTTACTATACAAACAATAACTGTCTCAATGATTTACACGATGATTTTACTCGATAACTTTCGGATAATTTCGTTATATTAAACCGGGAGATTTTCGGTGAATTACTGACTCTGGAGAAGAGCTAGTGAGAGACCATGTTATGTCCACGACGGTCGATGAGTGACTGCCCGTAAGACGAGCAAAAATGATATACTTCGACTGCTTTCGATGAGTTACAACTTGACTCGAATAATTAGGTCACATAAGGAAAAGAGTCCTTAACAAACTCACGATTTAGGCAGGATTTCAAACAATGGGCAATATTTCGAATCGAGAATGAGAACTCGAACACGGCGTACATCTCGAACGAATGTAGAAAATAAGGCGGTTTTCATGAATACAATCGTCAAATCAATTATTAGAATATGAAAATTTAACAGCTGATGAATTGGGAGAGTCGATTCTCATCAGTCGTATTACTTTTTGCAATGACAATGATTATAAACAATTAATTGAAAAAAAGTATATCGAATCTGGGAGGAAAACGACATAATCAAAGGACACTTGTCCTGTAAGATGCTGATTGTCCAAGTTGAATGTTCACACTGCGCCTTGGCATTATGACCAAGGAACTAAGCGCTTCAATATGAATTCGTCGATGAGGAACTAAGGGCTCCCTTGGTGCGCTTACACGACCGGAGATACATAGACCGGAGTTCCATAGTGGGAAGTGGGTAATGTGACCTGGTAAATTTGTGAAATTTCCTGGTCATGTTTGCGATATCAATATTGTCCCTTTTCATGTGGACAGCCACAAATATAGCACTCGGCTTAAAAATTTCAATCATTCCCAAAATTCCCTCAACTATCAGTGGTATAAAAAGTGTCTTGAACTTTTAGACCTTGAACTTAATGAAGAAGATAGATGGGAACAATCGATTTTCTTCTACAAATTATTTTACTGCGGACATTTTACTTGCCCAATGTCTGATGAAAAAAGAAGTGAAACACGTTTTTGTGGGAACATTTCTGAATTTCCCAAAAAGAAGCAATCTTTTACTCAATACCTGTCCTTATAGATGAAAATCGAGTTTAGAGTTCTCAACGTAGTTTTTTCAGTCTTCCACCATGGAAAATGATATTTTTTTGCAAAAAGTACTGACAATTTCAAGTCTAAATAGAGATAAACGAAAGTAGCATTTGCCCATTATTAACAAACCAGAGAAAAATGAATTGAAGAAGATCTAAATTACGGCATTGATTTTAATTTTATAGTTTAATATCCACTAGTGAATTTTGCATTAATTGATTTTGTTTGTTTCAATTCATTTTTTTCCAGATTGTTGATCATCATTACCGAACTGGAAAAAATGGATCGAGCGAATATTTCAGCAATGTAGAAGTATGCAGACTCATATTTTCCCAATTTATTGATAGGTAGGGGAGGGTAGGGCAAAATGGACCAGGAGGGCAAAACGAACCACTAACAGAAAATTGGTAATTTTTTTTTCTTTCTTTCAAATCAGGAACACTGAATGTGTTGAATTAAAAGTGAGTTTCAGGATCATAACCGTCACAGGGGTTTTATAGACAAGAAGTGTCGTTGAACCGCAATTTGATCAGATTTGCTAATCACCTCAAATCACAAATGATTTTGAATTTTTGTTTTTGCTTCCGAATGGAAAAAAAAATGATAAAATTATCAATTCTCTATCAGTGGTCCATTTAGCCCGCCTGGTCCGTTTTGCCCTACCCTCTCCTAAATACTAAAGTTTGAAAAAAACACTACCATTCCGAACCATAAACTCGGCAGGTATTGCAAAACATAGGATGTGTTACACGTGCATGCGAAAAAGTCGAACTTCAAATTTCAAAAAATCCGCACATACATATGGACACAAACATTTTCTAAAAACATCATACGTTCACGTTTTATGCCATTCTGCATAATTTCTAAGTAAAATTAGAAGATCCTCAAAATGGGCAACTACAAAGCTTTCATTCGGAAGCGAAAATGTGCCATAATATATGAAGGCACGCATAAATTTTATTTCCAATAAAAAAATAATCTTGGGGATTCAAAAATTGCATTAATGTCTAAGATTTAGTGGAATAACTCATATAGATATTTTCTTATCCATCCCCAAACACGCTGATGTCATAGCCACGTTTTGCGATTGAAGGTAACCCGCCAGGATGCACAGAGAATATGAGAAAGTTTTAAAAAATCTGAATTCTCATGAACATTTTAATCCTTTTACTCTCATCATACCCACATACATATGAGATCTTCGACATGAACTATTTTTTAGGTGACGTGACTGACTTGGACATTTCTAGGAAAAATAGAAAATAAACCCGACTGTAGGTCAGTTAATGCGTATGACGACGTGTAAAGCAAACGAATCAACACAATTGACCTCGAAGGTCAAGTCAGAATCTTTCATGTGACTCAAGAAAGAGGAAAGCCAGAATGAGAAACGCCGAATTACAATGTCGCGATTTCATCAATGTATAAACATCAATTGTCAAATAAGGAAATTGTGATGAAGTCCAGTCGATAATGAGGGTTATTGTTGATGCGAAAAGATTATGTCCAATGACCCCACGGCTGTCGACGATGTAACGAGAGGAATAAATGTTCAGTAATTTATTCGATAGTATTCTTAGGATTGTTTACTTACACATATGTTCCCCAAGAGGCCAGACCTGAGGACCAGAGTTGACCTCAACAAGGACAGTGGGGGCACAAACGAGCAGAACACAGAGATCAGCGGCACTTAGATTCACCAAGAAGATGTTTGTGCTATTTCGCATATCCTTCCCGCGCAGTACAACCAGAGGTACCTTTTTTTGCAGTATAATAAAAGAAATTATGTTATACTTTTTGAGACAACAAACAAGTTTGTTTTATTGTCTGTGCGAATCTCAGATTACACGCGAGAGAAACTCACCATGAGATTGCCGATTATACCCAGCACCATGACGACAATTACTATCACCATAGACGTCACACGAATGTATGTTGGAAGCATATACGGGCTGGACGTCTCATTCACGGGATCAATCACTGAAACTTTATTAATGTATATTTTTTCTATAATTTTTTAGTAGATTAGGTATTACTAGAGGGCAAGCAGATATTGTTTTTCAGTTTTCTGATGGAATGAATAAACTGATAGAACGGTTTAGTCGAACCAAACGAGACTTTTTAACAATCACCACGATTCGTTAACTATTAACTGTTACCGCGATTCGTTAATAGTTAACGAATCGTGGTAATAGTTAAAAAGTCTCGTTTGATTCGACTAAGTCGTTCTATCAGTGTACAAGACGAATTAAACGAAGAGAAAAATACCAGAAAAATTACTGTACTGAAGCGGTGGAATGGGTTCATTTTGTTGGCCCCGGGAAAATTCACATGCCAGCGCTGAAATTTTTGCTGCGCGCCATCTTTTCCCGCATTTACCACGAAGAATTTCGAAATTTAGCAGAACACATGAAAAAATCGTATCGAAATTTTCTATTCGGATTGCGTATAGAAATTCTATAGTATTTCCGTATATGATATTTGGATATTTCTATACGAATATTGTCTATACGAATTATTTCTATACATAAATTTTTACATAAATTTTTGTTTTTATACGAAAGATGGCTAAACGCTCCAGAGAAAAACGTAAAGAAATGTCGCAACTCCATACGAAATGTTTCTATATATGCGGCAGTGGGTCGTATAGGATCAAACCTATAGAAATCGTATAGAAATAATTTGTATAAAAAATATCCGTATGGAAATATCCGAATATCATACGAAAATCCTATAAAGATTCTATACGCAATCTGTATAGAACATTTCGATAGGATCTTTTCATACCTGAATTTCCTCACAGTAGTTTGTCTTGTATTTTTCCTCTGTGAAATTTATACAATGATTTAATTTTTTTAATGAGATTTTTCATTGTATTTATTCAGTGAAAAATCCATGTTTACCTGAGAATCCATCTAGAGTACTGCTCCCATCTATTATAGCGGTGTAATATGATGAATTCAGCTCAATTGCTGCTGATGACATAGTTGTTAACATTGCCTCAATATTTTAGTGTCGTCTCTTAATCAATAACTTCTTATGAAGCCTTGCATTGGCATTTTTATGACCAATTCAATACCAATCTTTTTTAAGACTTCAATCATGGAGAAGGAGGAAACTGTGATTTCGACGTTCTATGGAATCAAAGTGGAACGAGAAAAATTGAGGAAGTTTGAAAATCATGGTTTCTTCTAATTCTTTGGCCGTAACTTTGTTCACCAAAGTTTATTACTTTCTCGAATACTCTGGAAAAAGAACAAATATATTCTTAACAATGAATTCAATAATTGGTCGAATTCAATATGACGTAGTTCAACATTTTTAGTAAACTATGATTTTATAATATAACACGCTATGAATGAAATCTCAAAAGAATTATTCTGTTTCTATGAAATCTGATTTTACTATTCCATGAATACTGAACTCATTATATTGATTTCCCACATGACTCAAATCGGTTCCACGCACCAAAAATTTGAATTTTTTCCATTACAATTCTATTTTAGCGATGAACAGAAAAATCGGAAAACTAGAAATAATGAGATAGACAGAAAAAATAAAATGGAGGACATGAAAATTAATGGCATTAACAAGATAAAGCGACGTACTATTCAAATAACTCTGAGAGTATTGCGGAAACACTGAGTGACATTAAGAATGAACCAGTCGTAATTCAATCTCCCTTTGCTCAGTTACCGGGTTACCGGCTTCGTGACGTGATCGATCAATTGTTTCAGAAAAACTTTTTCAAACCCAAATTATCACATATCAATTGAAGGATCATCATTTCATCATCAATGTGATCCTGTCATATTTGGATCTTACCCTCGATGACTTTTACTATTGTTTAGCATCCATCAATTGTTGACATTGACATTAATTCTCAGCGCGCAGAAACATTATCTAATTGGTCTATGCGACGCTAGAATAATTTTTCGAGGACAGTTACTCATTTAGGACATCTCTTTTTTTTCTTCCAAGATATTACGGAATCACGAACCAATGATAAAACGTTATCGCTGTGATTTCTTAGTCTTTGATAAATCCCATCTTCCGGTCTAGAAAAGCTACGGAAACTTCGGTAATTATTCCACTTGGCACACTCACCTTTAATATTATGTATCACTCCAGGTCTCTATTTAACGACTTCGTAACCTCTTCACCCTCCTTGGGTAGTGATTGCACTTGACATGATCGAGCGAGAGCTCTTGATTAACAAACATTTTTCAATAATCCACAAAATCCCGGTGCACTTAAACAGAATATCCACTTTTTCGATAGTCTTCAACTTGCATTATTGTCTATTCCAGATTTTGAGATATGAATAGAATTACTGGATTGCTGACACTTGTGCGGATGATCTTTTAGTAGAAAAAGTGAAGAAGAAAATTTAATGAAAAATTTCAAAGTTAAAATTTATGAAAAACCGTCGACTTTCAATTTTTTTATTCATGGGAACAATTTCAGGACCAGTAAAAAAACAATTTCCGGGTTTTATTCTCTGAATTGGAGAATTCTATTCCTCTCATCAAAAGCTGATATGAACCTGCTCTACTGAGAGTTGCTTCACAAAATTGAACCTGCACGCACAAATTGTGACGGTATACTGAAACGCGTTGTTGGTTGCGTCGTACCAAGATCTTTCGCGCGTCGCATGGATATCCCTTTTGCGCGCAAGCGCTTGAAAATCTCCACCTGTTTGACAAGAACGCAGGAGTGAAATAGGAATTAAAGGGAGGAAGAATTTGAGGGAGACGAGGACTGAGTTGCTTCCAATTAGATTAGATTTATATCGCATGCATTCCTCATCAATTTTCCGCCAGTCAAATTTTTGCATGTTCGATGACAATTCTGGAATTTTTCAGGTTGATTGGAGATCATATGAACCAATATTTCTCATAACTGAGAAAACTTGTTTGCAACAGCTTTGATGAATTGAAATAAACCATTTTTTTTAAATTGTGTTCAAATTGATGAAAGACTTTAAAAATGGAAATAAAATGAAAATAGAAGGCAACGTGAATAAATATACTGAATTTAATGGCTACAGAAAAACCTCAGGTATCCACACAATATACAGATATTTCGAGCTTTAAAGCTTTTGAAGTCCAATATAACCTCCCAATACTACCGACATTTAGTACATATTCTCTATTTTATTTCTCGATCTAATTAACTCCAGTTAGTTGATTAAAAGATGAAGCATATAACTATCAGTTGAAAAAAAAACTCTTTCAATGCTTACGGTTTTAGATGAATATCTCTAGTATTCTCGTAATTATACTACGAGATACATAATTGAGTCAAGTCCTTCAATGGAGAGAATCAGTCTTGTCATAATGCTTAAAGGGATTGAGTGATTGAATGATTAGATTTATGTCTTAGAATATACACAATTCCCTAAGAATAAGGTATAAAAGATAGACAGAAGTTTTAGTAATACTATAGTCGAAATTTGAATGTACAAAAAAATAGCCAATGGGTTGTAACACGCGTTATAATATTATCGGTCTCAGAATCGAAATTTTCAAACATCTTTATAAGGTCTATTATTTTTCCTCATACATATGCTATTTCACGTAGTTTCCATTGATCTAACATTAACATGTTTGCATTAATTGCAGTATTCATTATTAGATAAGTGAATTGGATCGTGGAACGTCCTTTTGACCAATAAAAAAGAGTATCATCACAACGAACGGAGAACGGATTTTATACATTCAAATGTTACTCAAAACGATTAACTTTCTCTGAAGCCGATTCATACAAAATTCATCGATATCGACCAGTTTCGTAGCACAATTTTTTTTTACCAATCAACAGTCCTGTCTATCATAAAAGTAATAAAACGTTTCGAATCAAACGCGACAATGTTGATTACCTATGCAATCCTCTCCGATGACAAGCAAAAGATGTTCCTGGTACTAGAGAAAAATCTCTATTGCAAGTATTTCCTGATAATTTTTCCGGGAATCACCCACTATGGCTCAATAACTTGATTACTACAGAATTGATACATTCGATAGCAACTCAAATAGTTATTATTTCTTTTGATAAGAATGCCGAAATTGTATGACCATGTCCGATAGTGATTCATAGTTGTTCACTCGATAGTGAAAGGCCTCTATGAATGGATATTGAGGTTGAGCTTAACAATTCAAATCGAAGAATGTCTTTTGAATTTCTTGCGTGCTAATGTTCGTCGAAATTGAGACCTGCAGAGCATCCTAATTTTTCTCATGACACGAAAGTAGTTAATAATAATTTTTAGCTTAATACTAAAAGTATCAAAAAACTTCCTTCACTTTGTCAAAATTTCAACAATATTGAGTTAGAATTTAATTATTAGAAAATTATATTATATTAAAACAGTTTCTCACCCTTTTAATGATGAAAATATATTTTTTCATGGGAGTAAATGCCACAGTTCAAAAATTACAACTGGATCGTAAAAGATTTAAAATCGGAATATGTAAGATCCAAATATACCTCAAGTCTATATTTCAAAAAACAGATTGTCTGCCATTTTCGTTATCATGCCCATACCTTAAGTATACAATCCATATTTATATGCAAATCGATAGGCTCAAAATTCTGTAGAACAAATGACCCACATGTGGAATATTGATTTACATATTTTTCCAGGTTCTCCACTTACGTCCAAGGCAAACGTTAAATTGTTTTCTTCTTCTCACCAAATATGACCTGTTAGTTTTACTTTAGCATTTAAATTCTTGTAACATTTCTATTCTTCTTTTTTATAAATTTTATTCTCAAAATACATTAACGATGAATTCGTAAAATGTCCTTTACTCTGGGTTCGACACCAATTTCAGGAAATTCAGGTTTGACATCTGCTGAGCCGAATTTCATGAAATGATGCCTCTTCTGGAAACCGGTCAAGTTCAGCGAATCAACGGAAACTATTCGTCGTAATGTAACACAGAGATAAGACTCTGTGTGAGTTTTATATCGATTTCATACGAGAAAAAAATAGAGAATTGGGAGGATTTCGTCTGGGAACCTCATCCCCGTTATCTTATTATTTGATATCGTAATACACGTTCAACCCCAACGATTTATGTGAGAAACAACTATTGCGTTTTCTACTGCATTCGCCACCCCATATTTAAGATTTTCTTCGTTTCCTGTTTCGAAGTTATTTTAAGATCACATACACTGAGAGAAAAATATAATTCTTCTGACTATATTTCATCACCATCGAATTATACTCAAAAAGTCCTCAACAATTTTTCATGGGTTACGGTAACTATGGCCGGAGAAGTAATTACTACAATGAAATGTAGTCATTGCAACTATTTTATAGTTCTCCTCACGATAGATTTGTCATAGTTACTTTTGAACTTTGGTTAGTTTGACTGCATTTTGATTTGCAAAATTACGCTTGTGAAGTTACTATAATGTTATGTGCCGCATAAAATGCACCAAAATGCCTCAACTATTTTCTTATTGTAAATCGAACTTCAGATTTTTCTCTCAGTGTATAGTGAAATGGAAACAACTACTGGATTTACAAAACAATCCTCGGAAAAAACCCAAAATAAATTTCACCCGAGCATCTATTTTTGTCTATAAAATGCTCGAATTAAAATTAAATTGAGTTTAGTGACATTCTTCCAGCAGTTTGAACAATCACGTTTCTATGAGAGAAAATGTAAATTAAAACGTTAAGATTCTTCAACTGCATAAAATTTATCAACCACTGCATCATACGAGCAAAGCAATAATAACAAGATGTACCGCGAATAAAACAAGCATCACAACGAACTAGGCGCAAATATATATGGTTACAGAAGTTGAGAGAGTACTGTCTCACTGGCGCAGATAAAACCAATAAGATTCTTCAGCAATTCTCGAAGCTTTTAAAAATCCCTGTTGGTATTGGTTCAATGCCAACCTGAATAATAGACTGAATGACGTGAATATTTTTTTATTCAGCATGTCCTCTTAACAGTTTCATTCTACGTTTTTGATCTCACTTCACATGGAGAAGGACTGCATTCCTCAGTCTGTTCTCATTATCTCTATCATTATCCAAAAAGCACCTCCAATGTGACTGAATATTTCACTATTCAAATAATAATAATCATATAAGCACAATTTCATTCGTACACCCCTTTTCTCTCTATATAATAAAATCGTAATTTCAGCTGACGCAAAAATTTTCAGGGTTCGTGAGGGTCAGGAAGAGTCAGAAAAAGTCAAAATAAGGGTCTGAATGGTCGGACCAAAGAATAAGGGCCAGGAAGGATGAAAATTAGGGTCAAGCAGGGCGAAAATGAGGGTCAGGAAACGTTAGACATGAGACAGGATAAAGGTCAGGATAATAGTCAGAGGGGGTCAGGATGAGGATCAGAATTTAAGTCCCCATAGGCTGTTATGAAGGTCGTGTGTACAGCTTAATATCCCTTGTAAAAAAGGAGGAACAGCAAAATTGTTCAAATAAAAGTTGAGAGTTCGGAAAGAGAAGCTGAGTGCTGATGGAATCCAGAGGCCCCCGTTGCTTATGTTTCTATGCTACGCGCATAAGATCAGTGTTCTCAAATCACAACAAAATTTGTTAACACTATAAAAGTTGTTCGTCTTGCCGAGGAAACTTCAACCATGCCATTTTTTGATGACGCCATCGTCTTCACATGAATAATCGTACAAAAATAGAATGAAAAGGAAATATCACCATTTGTTCTACCTTATGCTACGCTTGAATCCTGGAATGTTATTTATTTACTATCTCGTGAATGTACCATGTAAAGAACAGATGACTAAGGTGTGTAAGGAACGTTGTGATAGTACTTCTTATTCATTTTCCGTCATGGAAAAAAAAATATACTTGAATTGAATATAAAATATACTTGATTCAAATATATTATTCTTGATTCGAGTATGAAACATACTTGATTCAAGTATATTTTATACTCAATTGGGGGATGGGTATTTCAATTCGGAGATGATGGTTTTGTATCAGGCCGGGTTATAGCAAACTCTCTTAAGAATGTTTATCCACAATCGCAAGTACTTAAAAAAAACAAGATTTGTTTTAACTGAGAGATGAAGATATTCCCTTCACTTTGATACAAATTTTCAATCCACCAACCCATGTTCATTATTTAGAAATGATATAGATGAAATGCACCAAATGCATGCGCGAACATGCGCTTATATGGGCTGGAATCATTCAAATATTCCCTCTTTTTGCCCGGGTACCCCAGATTTTTCTCTGGCCATTCGCGATCGCAACGTAGATGTGGGAGCCATCAAGTGGTCTGTAAACTAACTACTCTTGGGGGGCAACCAATGAGATCCCTAGGAGGGAACCAATGATGGAGCTCAACAAATGACATCAAAGAGAATCCAGTGATCTCATTGGTTGCCCGCCAAGAGTAGTTAGTGGAGAGATCACTTGA